TGTGATGCACCTGCTCGTGCATTTGTTAAAGGTATAACAAGCCACAATGGGTATTATGGATGTGAAAGATGTGTTCAGGTTAGAAAATATGTAGAAGAAACGTTTCCGGAGTTGTATGCAGAGAGGCGAACATATAGCTCATTTTTTAATCGTAAACAAAAGCAGCATCATTTAAAAAAATGTTGTACCACCACTTCTAGAGCTTAATGTTGGTCATGTTTCACAATTTCCTTTAGAATATATGCATCTTGTATGCCTTGGTGCGACTCGAAAATTGTTATTGTATTGGCTTCATGGCTCTCGAAATGTTAAGATAAGCATTGTTAAGTGTTAAGATAACCATTGTTAAGTGTTTAAACACTTAACAATGCTTATCAACAATTATTGCTGCAGAGAAAAAATTGTTTTGCTTTTCCTTTTCTTCATTGTCAAAAGTTTATGTAAGATTTTTATTATCAACATTTTCTAAATATATATCAGTTGGTAACTGTAAGACATCGAATATTATATTTAAACATGAATGACATTTTAATCTTATATTATTTACTAACTCACATTGTTTCTAATAAAAACATAATTTGTGACGTTGTTTGTTATAAATCGAATTATAATAAATTTCACTTGATATTATTATATTCTACAAAAACAATATACTAAAGTTAGTTTTCATACATATGCTTTATTGTTTAATATGGTCAGGCTTTATTTTTAAAACAAAAAATTTTGCTATTTTTATTTTTCCAATTTTTTTTTTTTTTTTTTTTTTTTTTTTGTATGGATTTTTAGAAATACAGAAGTTCTTAGCAATTTTATTTTTAAAGCTTTTATTTTTTTAAAAACTTTTGAATTTTTGTTTTAGAATGAGATTTTTTTTTCTTTATTTTTTTAAGTTTTTGAGTCTACTTCATTCATTGAACGGTATCAAAACTTTTAAAAAACTGTTAAAAGCAATTTTATTTTTGATTCTTAAAGCACATCGAAATAATTGAAAATTTATTGATTGTAAATATAACGATTAAATAATTTTTGTATAAATATCTTGAACAATTTTTTTTTTTTATTTCAAATTGTTTAAAAAAAATATTTGTTATTACATATTTCATTTTTTCAAAAAAAAGAAAACCCTATTATTGCTAACTTCTATCCACCCAACTGTTTTCCGATGTATAATAGTAAAATTAAATTAATGAATTAACTATTTTTATCAATCAACAACTTAACTAAGTTGTTGATTAATATAGTAAAAATGTAAAAAAAATCGATTTTTTTTAGCTATGTTGGTTCAATATTGTAAGACAATATTGGCGCACTTTTGGCAGAAATATTGTCCTAATATAAAAAGTAAACATTAAGCAATAATAGGCCAATCTTGTTTCGAATATAGGTCCAACGTTGTAAACAATATGCGACCAATATTGTAAATAAATATTACACCAATATTGCCAACATTATTGGTCCAATATATATATATATATATATATATATACATACATATATATATATATATATATATATATATATATATATATATATATATATAATATATATATATATATATCGATATTGGGCCAATATATAGCCAAATGTTTACATTTAATATTGGTCCATTATTGTTGCCAATATTGATCCGATATTGCCGGCAATATCGGACCAATATTGCGCCAATATTGTTTGCTACTCGGGATGTTGTCCGGACCACAGGCTGTAGAAAAGTCTAAGCAGATAGTCATTTTAAATACGGAAGCTGGAGTAACACGAATGTCAAGCAATAGATCAACCTGTTTGTTAGCATTATCAGTTTAAAAAGCAGCTAGTGAAATCAAGAGATGATATCGATGAAAAGTTTTTAGCAAACAATTCAGCATTGTCTTTAGATGAGGTGACAGTATCTGAACCGTACAAGAGAGGTGAAATAACATATTTGCTCCTATTATTGATACTGTTAAAAGTTTTTCAAATCTCACAAGAGCCTAATTTTTGAGATAAAATACCAGATTTCATAACCTGAGAATAGCGGGCTTTGGCGTTAGACAAAACATTTTTACAGTGGTTTTTAGCAATAGTAAATAGACGTCTGTTTTCTGGAGAATCCTTTTGATGACAGATGTGGAAATAATGGTTTTGTTAAGAAATGGCAGCAGCACAATGCAAAGAAAACCGTGGAGAAGAGAGAACTTGAATTGGGATTTTCGAGAGGTAATAAAAGATTTAGCTTTAAGTCAGCTTTAAGTTAGTTGTAAGAGGTACGATAATAGGGAGATTCTGATGATAAAGCAGAATGAGATAATACTTTAGAGAGATCAAACCGCGATTAGAAGCACCTAAGGGTGAATGTGCAGAAACTAAGCACTGACTAGCTTTAGAAACGAAACATAAGTCGGGTAGAGAAGGTAAATGATTCGGGTTGTCTGGAAAATGAGTTGGAAAATTGACTATTTGAGTCAGAGATTGAGAAAGGCCTAAGTTGTAAGCCTTAACGCCTGTAAAGAAACTAATACTAGAGCTAAGCCATTCAATATAATGATCATCAAAGTCACCAAGAGAGGACTCCGTCAATTTGATCAGAAACATAATGGCAACCAAAGAAAAACAAATAATTAGCTAATCACCGATCTCAGAAAAAAGATGAGGATTTTTTCTTGCACCTTCATTTTGAAGTCAACTCATTTCATTTATTAAACAAGTTTTCAACTTTATATATTAAAATGAGGAATTTTTCGTATATGCAAAGTATATGCAAATTTGTAATATATACAATAATTTGTAATATATATATTTTGTAATATATATATTTGTAATATATAAGTATATACAAATTTGTAAAATCATATATGCAAATTTTTGCAACTTTTCACAATTTTCCACTTAATTAAGGGTATAAACATTTTGACTCTTATGCCCCAATTTTCTTTAGGCAACTCAGTATCCTTTTTAATTTATTAATTCTAAAAGATTTTAGGTGATTACCATATTGAGATTTAAATGGAGTTTCACATTAGCCAAAATATACTTTTCAGGTTTATTTGACGATGCGGTGGCTCGATAAACAATATTCTTTGTCAAGCACTGATTGTTTACGGGGCAGATGGATTTGTTGACAAATTTGCATATTTTTTCATCAGCTGTACTTTTTTTTTTTGTTTATTTGTTTTACCTTTATTTATTTGTTTTTAAGGTCAAGTAATCCATTTCTATTATAAATATAGAGTGTAGTCCGCTGTGGTCAGTTCTTTATAGATTGTTGCAATTTGATATTTTTTGCGTTGCAGATTTTACATTCTCAGGCGCTGTGCTAATATGGCACCCCAAACTCTAAATGTGAACAATAAGTTAATGAAATGAATTATTTTATTCATTCACACTTAAATAAAGTTTACGTACAGACGTCCTCCGGACGGCACAAGTCCATTTGTATATATAAAGTTTAGTAAAGTTAGTATTTTTGCTTAATTTTTTTGGTAAATTTGGTATCTATACTCGACCTTCGACAACATGCAGCAACCGAAGGAGAAAGGACATGCGAGAGCAGAAAATCTTTACATTAGGCGTTACTTTTAAAGCATGCTTTGAAGTCAATTTTATTCACCGTGGTACCACAAACACTGTAATCCAGTATCACGATATCTTTTTTGTAAGAAATATAAAATTTAGCAAAAATATTTGCTAAAAATATAATCTTTTTGTACTACAATATAGAAAACAAATTTTTAGTTTAAATTTAATAGTTCCGTAAACTAAAGATTGACAGGTCTGTGCAAGGTTTATTTAGAAACATACCTGTCGATCTTTAGTTTACGCAACTATTAAATTTAAACTAAAAATTTGTTTTCTATATTGTAGTACAAAAAGATTATATTTTTAGCAAATGATTTTGTTATATTTTGTTTTTTACTTTTTAGTCTTTACAACGACTTACGATATTTGGCAATGCGTTTGTCAAGACCACTGTAATTAAATCAAGCTTTTTAGCCTTATTTAAAAACCTAGTTTTTCCTGAGGAAAAGAAAGGAACGACATTTTACTTTTAAAGGATAGACATATTTCATATATAATATAAAAGTAAAGTAACATTTTTTTTGCTTTGCCCATCCCACTTTTGTAGTATATTTTTATATCATTCCTAAACAAAATTATGTTGTAAGTTTTATTTCACAATTTTATAAGACTAAAACCACATGCAACCTATTAGCTCATTGAAAATTGTTTTGACTGTATCGATAATAGATTAGGAAGATTAGATTTAAATTAATAGCGTCAGCATTTCCATAGATAATTTCTTCTTTCATGCCGACGTCATTTAAAAGCCATAAGTTTCCGGGTGTTTTACAGTATGAAACAAGATTTGCAATTCAAAAATCAATTACAAAGTTAAGGTAGTAGTCAAAATTGTCATGCCTAAATGATTCTTGAATATCACTAAACTTTACAGGATCTGTTTCGAGTCGATTAACACTGACAAAGACAAATTCATAAAGCTTAACATGAATTTCGTAATTCTTTTTGCATTTGTTACATATATGACGTTCTGATATCACCGTTTTAAGTACCAAATCCTTGATGTCCTTAAAACCATTCTTAAGTAGGGGAGAGTGGGGTATTGGTGAACAGTTAAGCGGGAAAGCGAATTAAAGACAACTATTACTATATATTGATGATATTTATAGCTTATCAGTTAGTCTAACCATTCGGTTAGAAGCACTCAAAAGCAATTTTCATATATTTTATTATAAAATAAAAAATTCGTTCAAAAACAAAACCTTTGGTGTTCGGAATTACCCTACGCACGTGGGGTAATTCCGAACATACCGTGGGGTAATCACAAACACTGTTGGGTAATAACGAATAAAATGTTGATCAAAGCAAATCAAACTTAATTGAAGGGTTGAAATATTATTGAATCAAATTTTAAACAAATCAAACGTTAAAGAATCAAGTATCAATAAACGTTATTCAATGTAAATAAAATGTTACATTAACAAAATTTAAAAAATCAATAAATG